TTTTTTTTTTTTTTTGGTTTTTCCGCTCCCTCGCGAGTGAATTACACCGTCGAAGCTGTCGTCTTCCGGCCCAGAGAAGCGACGTGGTGGGCGGTCAATATGGGCCAGTGCAACGCTTGTCGACCCGCATAAATGTCGCCCGCCTGTGCAGTAACCAGTGCAGATGCCCGCCGCGCGATGTTGAAGAAGCCTTGGGCACCTCGCCGCGGATTATCATCGCATGCTCCCAGCGGACATCTTCGGCGCCTTTGACTACCACCATCGTCGTTCTTCTACTCTTCTCGCCGCGTGGACATCAGTGACGTGGTGATCAGCCTTCTCGCCGCGCGGTCTACTATTCTTCTCGCCAGGCGCACGGTGGTCTTCTTCTCAGCGCGGAGCACTGTCGCCGGGCTCCTGGTCCTACTTCAGCGTCGTCAGCGGGACTTCATTCGACGATCGACGAGTCACTTCCGGCTAATCCGATCGGTCCGCCAACGTCACTTCCAGCCGTCTCTGCCACGTCATCATGAAACGGGACGGGCTTCCTGAAGATGGCGAAGGGCAGTTGAAGAAGGGGCGGCATGTCCCCAAGGGGAAGAGGCTGCGTCCGGGGGAAGCTTCAGGAAGCGCTCCAAGCCGGATCGCGCAAGGTTGGGTGGCAGCAGCCCAACGGGACGATGACGACGAGTATGCATCCGGGGAAGCACGCGCCGAGGGAACGGCGTCTGCAGTGCGGGAGAGTGATCGGCAACGGTCGTCCGATCATAGCGCTTCGAAGGGGATGACCACCCCGCCGCCCGACGCCCTGCGAGTGCAAGGCCGCGACACGCGGACAAAGAAGGTCACTGTCGTCGATGTGGTCGATCCGTCAGATGACGAACCATTGGAGAAACGTCGCCTGCGCACGGCGGCTGCAAACACCCCAGGCACGCCGACTCTGCCACGTCAACCTCACCCGAACGATGAAGGAGGGTCCGCCCAACGCGTCGCCGCTCGTGCAGTCGTCGCCGCCCGGGGTGCAGCGGGGGCGGAGGCAGCAGGTGCTGCTGGGGCACGCCTGGCGAGAAGAATCCTGGTCGGGAGGGTGATGACCCCTCTTCAAGTCGTCATCGTCGGGGAGTGATGACGAAGGATCTTTTGCAGCGTGCCCTGCTGTGGATTGACGACACAGCCTTCTGGACGACGGGGGAGGGGAGAAGACTGTACAACATCGTCCATGAAACTCGCGAGTATTTCGTGGCCATCGCCAGCGGGTTACCAGCGCCTACCATCCCTCGGAGCGTCGTCATGCCGAAATCAAGCGCGAAGGTGGCGCGGATCTCCGACCAGTCACAACTGCAGCAAGCCACGAAACGCGCGACGACTTTGGAGAACGTTGTTATGCGCATCTTGCACGGCTGGGTGTTCAAGTCCGGAAACCGCCCGAGGGGTTACCATCTCACCTTCCAGTACAAGTTGGAATCCTTCGCCACGGACCTTGCGCGTGTTATGTGGTGCGGCGAGGAGTGGAGTAACGCCGTCAGCGCCGAGGTTTGCGCGCACACGATAGACTTGGGCATGGACTTGCCGCTGTGGTTCGTCGGTGCGAGCGTTGATGATAGGCCTGACGACGACGACATGATGGCATACCAGGAGTCCACTATAATATGCATCGCGCATGCCTTCCGCGCGGCGATCCAGATGGTTGCTACCATCGACGGAGGTTTCATCTCGTACGAGCGTCTTTGTCGGGTGGCCGATTGTTTCAGGCTGCTGCTGGCGGCGAGCATGTGGTTGATGCGCATGGCGGGAGACGATCAGCGCAGCCACTACGAAGCTTTCTACTTCGCAAAGCTGGTGGCTAAGCCCACGCTCGTCGCGTCCATGCATCGCGCCTTCGAGCATCGCAAGAAGGTCCTCCGCGCCGTGAACGTCGTGACGGAAAGGCTCGGGAAGGCGAACGCCACCCTCGGCGAGTATCCAAAGTACATCCCAGATTGGGCGGACTGCGGCATCAGTTTCGGCCACGCCGCCACCATAACAGGGTCGGACGAAGCGAAGAAGTTAGGCTGGTTGGGTTCCGGCCCCCCCGACGACGACGACGGCGAAGCTGATGGGAAGAAGGAGACGTAGGGGCAGGTTGGGGGGGTTGGGGTGGTTGACGTCCACGGTCGATTGGGTTGGTGATATACACTAGCGGCGGATGATGCTTGACGGCGCTTGTACACGTGGCCTCAGTGATGTCATTGTCCGCGCTTGGAGGCGAGGCGCAGTGTGTTGGTGATTTGTCTGTCCTTCGGTCGGATTCGCCAGGGTCGACCCGTCGGTGTGCAGACGTGTAGTTTTTCGGTCAGTGTAGTGGATGACGGGTTGTACGATTCTCGTCCATGCATCGTGTTGTTTATGTAGCTGTGAGTCCTTTGTTGGACGTCGGTGGGGCGGGTAATTGATTACCACGCTGTATTCAAGTTTTTTTTTAAACGCATGTTTCGTTCGGTTTTACTTATTCGCGCTTTCAACTTTCTTTCATTTTTTTTCGTGATCCTAATTGCTTGTTTGTTTGTTTCTGCTCCGATGGGTGTTTGATGATTGCGTTCAATGCATGCACATGTTATCAGTTTTTCTTTTTTGGTTTATTTGTATTCAATGTGAACTTTTGTAAATGCATCGTTGGGATTGCTTTCAACGACCACATGTCATGCACGCATGAAACAAGGTAGGAAGAATAGACACACAATATCCACGACAACGCAACAGACGGCAACACTTGTTGTCAGCATTCGACCCCACGTCACAACCAATTCCAATGCATGCACACCTCATCACTTTTTCGACATCCATTTCGAAGATTACGGAATCCTGAGATGACAAGTACACAGCAAAAAAAGGACTCACATGTCATTAACGAACACATGAAACATTGAGGGCAGTGCCATAAACCGGCAACCCCCCGTCCCCCCCCACAACCCTCGCCACCCGCTGCCATCAACCCCCACCTTGCCCCCCTCCCCACCCCCCCTAGACCACGAGATTGCTTCCACTGCCTCGCCAAATTCTAACAAAAACGGCGCACGCACTACCCGCAATGCACTGCACGACCTAAACACAACGCAGACGCCACTGCTGCCTTGTCTAAACTCTATATGCATTACACGAAACCCGCAACGTCGACGCCTAGGGATGACAACCATCAACGACGACGATGACCCCCGGCCTGCAGTTAGACACCCCGCAGAAGGCGGAACAAAACGAAGTCTCCACCCTCTTGCCATCGCTGCGACGAACACAATGCCACTCCTTGCCGTGCTGAGTCGCAACAGGACTCAGAGCTGTTTCATTCGCTCCGACAGAGCAGTGCGCAGGGCCAACGCTTCGTCGGCCGTAGTTAAGCATCGACACGGGCTGCAGGGGCTCTTCCATCCCCAGGTCCACACGTCTTCGCACACCATTAGCGTCGACCTCCCATAGCAGGTTCTCGTCGAATGGAATCCCGGCGTCGATAAGTATGTTGTGCAGTATACAGACGGCGGTGAACTGCTGCGGGAGAGTGTCCAGGTTCGTCTTGTGTGATCGCAGAAACAGACGCCACATGCCCTTTAGCCTGCCGAACGCTCGCTCCACCGCTCCCCTCGCCACCTTCTGCTTGTTGTCGAAACGCTCGTCGTCGACGTGCTGATTGATGCCTCCATAGGGGACCACCATCCATTCAGATGGGGGGTAACTGTTGTCCGCCAGGACGTAGCCGTTCGTGCGCACACCAAAAGGGAGTGTCACAGGCGGACCACGGAACAACTCCCCTGACTCCGCGCACTGCCAGAGGCTGGACAGCTGGAGCACCCTGATGTCGTGGCAGCTCCCCGGGTATCCGCAGTGCACGTCGACGACAACCTGCGCGACGATGGAGAAACGGCGCTTCTTGTCGTAATAGTTCTCGCTCGGGGCGTTCGCCGGCTTGTCGACGAAGATATGAGTACAGTCGATGCAACCGTGGCAATTGGGGAATCCTTTATCAGCGAACGCCCGCAGGACGAGGAGCTTGCGAAGTCCACTCGGCCAGGCAATCTTATCTGCGTACACCCGGAGCAGCACGGCAGTGACGTCGCGCACGGCGACGAGGCCAGAGGCTCTGCCAACCCCGAAGTTGCACGTGCCGCTCTCGTATGTCTCACCCGACGCCCACCTGTACAATGTGTATGCGACAATCTGGTCAGGCTGCAGAGGCTCCCTGTAAAACGTCACCCGCCGCTGAAGATGAGGCGCACATGCCTCCGTGATCTCCTGGAACACTCGTGGCGACATTCGTAGCTTTTCCCAGAAGTAGTCGTCCGTCGTGTCGTCGCATTGGCGGAGGTCTTCCCACGTGCCTCCGGTCCTGCGCTTTATCCACCACCGCGGCGTCTCTCTCGGCATCACTCCGCACCCCGACACGTACCATAGCTGAAGAACACTCTGCGACGTCGCCAC